ATAGTTTGTTTTTCGTGCAGAAACACGAAAATATTCTGAAACGAATTGATTTCACACTCCAACACGATTCAATTTTCAAATTGTATCTGGAAAACTTTAAGTCTTTAATAGGATTGAGAAAGCAAAAACATTTTATATCAATGCACATATCTTGAATGGAAGAAAAATCATTGAATGTTTCATGGAAAACTTTGCCGTTTTGCATTCTACATGACTTTTGCAAGTGTGTTGCAACTAAGATAAACTTTTACGAGAAGTTGTACACATATTTGTATTTATTTTACAACAAGGCAGAATTCGCGGGAGAGGCAAATTACCCTTAAAAGCTTTCTACGTGTGTTTGATTATGTTTATATTGGTTTCGACGAAATTAGTATTGCAGAAAAACACGGAAAACAAACTTTGCATAATCTTAGTTTGAAGAGTACAAAGTTTGCAACTTAACTTCCTTTCTTCCTTATTGATTTTCTGCCTTCAAACAGGAGCTTTTTCAACGCACACACATTGATAGTCTTGTGTTAATCAATATCCTTTAATCTTCGTTATATCATTGGCTTTGTAGAGCATTGTTCAATGTAAGCATGCAAGTTTGTAGCCTTTGCCGTAAGCACTATATTGTTCTCTACTGTGCAAATGCAGCGACATAAACAACAATTTGCCGAAACTTAATGTTGTGTAAAACCACATTTTCAAACAGTGTGAGTTGTTTAATTTTCTAAGAAACACTGCAGCAATTCTACATTAGAATTTATATGTGTTATAGCAAATGTTCATATAATTCCCAGAGAGAGAGAGATATTCATGAATATCCAAATATTTGAATGTTTCATTGGACCAGAGAAGGTACACACTTCAACCTTGTTCAATATCACACGCACGGTGTTGTTGGGAAATGTTCTCGTAATTTGCGGTGACACCACTCTCAATGCGACGTCACCAGGTTAAGCAGCAATTAATGTCACGGAACGTATGTAAGTAGTGTAAAACTACAGTGTATAGCGCACAAGCTGAAGGACCATATTGACATAAGGGAGGAATGTTTTGTGTGTGTGACTATTTAATATTGCAGAATGCTCTAAAAGGGTGGCACAAGGGACGGTGTTTGCGATATATCGCCTCGTGGCGAAATAAAGAGAAGCAAGAGAAGTGAGGAAATGAAATACACCCACTCTATGACATCCTCGTAATTACCATCCCTTTTTGGAGAAGCAATTTTGTGATTTAAGATGATATGTCGCTCAAGTTTCTGGGATTCTCAAAACTGGGAGTCACTTTACCGGAATAAACCTCGCCACGAGTTCGAAGTATATTTTAATTCTCAATTGGCAAACTTTAGCTCAAAGTTTCAACTTTGACTCTCAGATTGTTTCGTCATATTGATTGGATTTCAATGGTTTAATGTTCACCATTAAATGGTATATTTCTACCACACAGACTACACAAAATTGTCATGAGATTAACTCTTAACTGTTGAATTAACAACGCCAAGCAAATCCTCAAGTGGTTCAGAAAGGCACTTTGCTGCTGCTGCTGCTGCAATTCAAAGTTATTCCACTTTGCTAGTATTTTCTCCTTCAAATTGTTGCGACGTGCGTTGTACACTGTGTAGAAGAGCCAGAAAAGGGGAAAACACTTCAATTTTAATCGTCTTACGTGCAAGAATTCTGAAGAAATTCAAGAAATAATCTTCCTGAAGACGTCACAAGTACAAAAAAGCCAACGAAAACAGATAAAATACTCAAGTTCCCTCATCATATCTAATCATATTTGAAAATTGAGATGCGTACAATCTCAATTACTTCCCTCTGCCTTCCCATTTGAGCTCCATTTAAGGAAATGTGTCCTTCTGGAAATCAAGCAGCATGACAACCACCCTCAAATTATCATCTCAATAAGTTGATGGCGTCAGTCGAGCAGACCCTCTTTTTACAAGAATATAAAAGCAATTTCAATTCTATCGCATGTCAGAGAAAAGTCTAAATTTCCACTGAATTATATCACGTTTTGGGGTTGAGTGAAATTAGATAGACTTTTACATTTAGCAGCAGTCTTTCTGGCAATTATATTTCACCATGTGTATAGGGACTTGCTCAGAGATTCTCAGTGTAGGGCGAAAAGGGGTTAAAAGGAGACTAATATCAATATCAATTAGTGAGGTTCGAAAATGGGGATACAATGGCAATTTCTGGTATATAACAAGAAGGGTCTCTATATGTACGTCTGCCATTGGCTACGTTTGACACTGTCTCCAATAACATTACAATAAAAACAACACAGTCCAAGAGTGGTCCACTAATGTTCACATGCGTAAGTGAATAACAGAGAGCAAATAGAATTGAATGGGATGGAATAGGTGTCATGAGAACTCATCGTGATCTGCCCCTGCAGCACTTCCAGGGCATCAATGGCAATACAAATTGCACAATAATTTCCTCGTTACCTCAGGGGACAAATTCTCACCGTGATACGATTATTGTTGTTACGCACATTCAATATGAGGGCAACCTTCAAATTTGACGCAACTTCCTGAGTGGAGGATCAATAGATGAAAAGCTGGAATATTGCGAAAATGGTCATGTGGGTGGTTTTTGTGTGTAAACTGAGAATGTCACATGAGAATCTCTTGTAAGCATATTTACGCTTTTAGCACCATTCATTCTTTCACCCTTTTAGGCGCAACCCAAACGAGGATAATTTCGAAGGCTGATGAGAGAGGCAGCACATCCCGGATCACACATGCGAGAAACTTTTCCCAGATTGAGTTTTCCACTCTACGGATGTGAGGGAATTCCACTGTGAAGAGAGAGGAAACAAACATTTTACGCACTCTGGCGTGAGTTAAGAACACACTGTGATGTTATATCTTAAAGCCATTACAATTTGTGATTTTTCAGCAGTGAGAACTTTGCTGGAAAACTCCCAGATCGATGCATTGGAAAACACGTCTTTTACATTTTATTTTCATGGAACATTATCCCTGGGATTTACTCCAATGAATGCGAGATCTGTGAATTCTTATTGAAATCACCAGCAGAAAATAACACGGGGAACGAAATTAATACGGTCTAAGCGCATCTATTGATGTTTACAATGGACGTTTCAATTTTAAGGCAAATCGATTGAATGTGTAAATGTAAAGTCATCCTCAAATACCGAACTGTGAATTGCTATGGAGAATTTAGAGTTTTTCTCGCACACAGATTTTCTCATACACATTCCATGTTCGCCAGAATGTATGGCAATTTCTGCTTCCGTCTACGTGTACGAAATAAATTTGATGATCAAGCTCTTGGTGTACTTTTCCTAAGTCTCTCGGTGTTTTTTTGCTCTTACATTTCTCCTCCACGTGCGAGAGGGAAAATTTGTGAATATCTGCAGCGAAGCTTTATCGAGCCATCGAGAGTGGAGATGCCACGGGTTCTGGAATGGGATGCGAGATTGCGGTAGTTGCGGGGTGAGAAATATTCTGTGGCAAATTTACTTCTCCTCCAGTGCATACCACGAGAAAATGTGTGTTGAATTTTTAATTTCACACCCATCGGCTATTTAGATATCCGGGAGAGAGCACAAGAGACCGGCGGGCACTGCAGCATCATCCCCACACAATGCTCTTCCTGATCTGGGGCTGAGATGATTTCTCGTACACCGTGTGGACTTTCCATGCTTAGCTTCTTAAGGCGACTTCCGCACAGAGGATACAACACAGAGGCGTTCTTCTGCAGAAATTACTTAAGAAGTTGGCAATGTTCTGCTCCAATTTCCTCTGTCGTCCTCCTTCAGGACAAATTAAACTAAAGTCTCGAGCCAAGAGAAAATCAGAGGGCGCACAATCTAATCCCCATATAATCTCTTTTGTACTCATAAGAATATAAGAGGCTTTGCCTCTGCAATCATATCATTGAGACAAGACGAACATTTACAGTCGATTCAATATTGGCACAAGAAAAGTTCTCGTTTCTTTTCAAAACTCTCTATACCGTCATGTTGTGAATTTTAATTGTTTCCTCACTTCCGTACACATTTTCCCTTATTTTCTCTGCCAATTCCTTGTGTTAACTTGTGAGATAATTAATTTCAGCTGGCCTCTCCCTCTACATTGCTCTTCTCGCTGCCAATATAGACTTCTTGCAAGGGGTATTTTCCAAGAAGAAAAACTGCTTCTGCCTCAGAAGAGATTTTCTGACTATTTTTCCTTTGTACTGCCTTAGAAAGACCGTACTGAGAAATATTATATGGTCTTATTATCGTCTCCATTAATTGTTTTCAGAGCAATAATGTGTTCCCAAATAGTTCGCTTCATAATTACCAACGTTCCAATTGCATACGGATTCCTTGAATCCCCAACAAATTTGTTGTCTCATGTGCAAAATACACTATGTCACACGACCATGAGACCTGCAAAAATGGTACCAGAAGCTCCAACAGTTCTGCAATACAATTCACAATCACAGGAAAATTCCATTATTTACAATGTATGCAGATTCTCACCATTTCATCCGAAATATCCTCTCGTATTTTTGTCCTCAGCGCCCCAGTGGAGTTGAAATAGCGCTGGCACTTTGTAAAAGTATTTCCTGGGATATTTCTGAAAATTTAATTAAGATCCCACTGACGAAGGATTTGTGCCAGAAAAAAAGAGAGCAGAAAAGTCATTTATTCCACAATCCTCACACGTGCCCCGTGAAAATCCCATTTGGCAGGGGTTTTCGTTGCCTTTTTGCATGCGCCTTTTCCGGGCAGCATGCTCTGCAATCCTCTCCTCATCAACATTGTCATGGAAATTGCTGGGTGCTGAAGTCGACAATGTCTTGCTCGCATTCAGCTCACTAACAATTGCATTTCACCCACACAGTATTTGCCGAGTAAACAAAAGTATATGCTGTTTATTAAACATATCCATTCTATTCGGTATACCTGTAGAGTTGGTGGAAAAAGTTGGCTTACTTCACATGGAAAATGCAAATGCAGAGCATACAAGCGGAAAAGCCAATTATGAATTCAACACGTTGTGCAGAGTGTAACTGTTTTTTATAGAAACATTTTTAAATTCACTTTATTTCAGCAAATATAACGTTTCATCCATCTCTTGGTAGCGCCCCTAAAAAGTCATTTCACCAGATATCATCATTAAAGTTCCTCAAGTTGATATTACAATTTTGATATGATACAGAAGTGATAAGCAAATCAACATATTGTACACGATAATTGCATTATTTATGCTCTCACGCTTAGTTTGATGTACAATGCAATCGGCAGAGAGGAAGGAAGGAAGGAAAGGATGCTGTCATGGGTGGAGAACGTCTATACAGCCTGCGGTGGTGGATCTTTGGCCAGTTCTGAAATGTCAAGAGCACCAGAAAGCTCTCCGTTTGCCGGCATCTCCAGCGCCGGTTCCTTTGTTTCGCATCGCTCAGTGAAGAGATCCTCCTTGTAGGACATCTTGATTAGTGTCCCGCTGTCCTCCATCTCGCTGTCCGTGCCCAGGCCGTGAGCCTCCTCGTAATTGGGATTCGTCACTGACAGCACGCCGTAGCGGCCACCGTCACCATCTCGAAGACTTCTGTATTGTCCCTTGCGATTCCTATGACTACGCGGTGCGGTGTACAATTTCAAAACACGGCAATTGCACGTCACCAGGACGGAAGTCACGATTCCCTGTGCGCGAGACAAAAAAAATCATAAGCTCTTGGCGAGAGTGTGAGATAAATGGCCAGAGATAGAGGTGACATGTTGCCATGAAGAATACAATGGTGGGGGAGATTAATTGAGCTTTTGGGAGCTTTTCACACGCACTCGCCATTTGAGTGTGGCATCAGCGCGAAGGGAATCTGCCCTAAAATGACTCCCATAAGCCAATCTCTCTTCCGTGATTCCCGCGGGAGTGGATGTGTGTATGTGCAATTCCCGTGCGAAATATGAAACTCTTTCTCACCTGAGCACCCTGAGCGATGCTGTAGAGAGTCCATAACTCTGGTATGGCCCAGAGGGAGGCGAGGGCGCCCAGAATTATAACAAATGACAACAAAATCAGCAGCTTCAGGAACAATCCAATCTGCAATCCGCGGCGTTTTATCATTTTATTACGTGCGCGTGAGTCAATTTGCAGGCTGGCGGTCAGTTTGACCGTGCCGCCGCCCTGGATAGCCAGCCAGAAGCCACACAGCAGGAGGATGACGGCGGGCGCGAGGAAGCCCCACTTGTAGGCGGATCCGTCCATGAGCCAGCAATGCGAGGATGGCGCGTGTTCGTGTGCATGTCGACCAGCCAGGCGAGCATCGCGCTCCTTGTACTTGAAGGCTGCCGCCACGGCCACCATCGCCAGAGGGAATCCCCACGCGAGCAAACTAAACACGTTAGTGAGACAATGAGATCGTAAATTAATTATGTCTATCTGTGCTGATAAATCTTCATATCCACAGAGAAGATGTTCATGCAGTGCGTGAAGAAACTACAAGAGGGAGAATAGTCTGCACAAGGATCAGGGAATTTGTTATCTTTTAGAGTTGTAGGGGAACAAAGGATCTAAAGCTGAAGTATTGTTCATTCAAAATTGCATTCGAAACTTAAGATGAGAAAACCAGTAATTGCATGAAGACATCTATGTAAAGTTCCCACCCATCTTGAAGTCCCGCCCATTTGTGTTGTCATCATTGTGAGCACCCCAAAATCCTTTGTTCCCTCGACTATCTCTCAAACTTTAATTAATTAATCATCCTCACAATTTCTCAGACAAATTTAACACTCTTCTGCTATGCATACTGTGATGTATTATTCCCACAATATTTCGTAAGCATAATAGAGCTGAAGTGAGTGTCTAATCAAGAGTCCTGACCAAGGTGAATGTATTTTGGCTTCGGCACCACTTCGCCCGCCTCTTCATTGCCAATGTGAGGAGCGAGCAATTTTCTCTAAAAGCAATCTCAAGAATGAATCTTGTTTAAGCTCTAAATTGTTGAAATTGCGCTGTTGTGAGGAAAAATAAGCATACAAGCATGCGAGCAAAAGGCTCAGGGATGAGAACTTCCAACGAGTTAGCGCGTCATGCATTTTCGCGAACAATCAGACAACTTGCTTGAGGTTTCAATCTCATCTGATTTGTGTACAAGACACCACGAGCAATTCACCAAGAGGGTCTTGGGAGAAATTCTTGGCGATGTGCACATTGAGTGAAAATGTCATGCATGATGTTTCAGCGAGATTTCCCATTTTATTTCATACAAAGAGCAATCTCTTGCGACTTTCCCTAAAAGCAAGAATTTCCCATATATGCTTCAGTGCACTCATTGAATGTGTTCCTAATTCGCATGGTGTGAGGAATTGCAGATGGATTCTCCATATTATTGTACCATTGACATTCTCCGCTCAAAATTTTAAGTAAAATCCAATAGTGTGGAGCCATGAATAATGTAGCATTGAGAGCGAGGAGGAAATGTTATTTCACATGCTGGGGAGTTTAATTAAAGTCCGGGGCTAAAAGATATAGAAGATGCACGTGACACATTTCCCATTGGCAAAATTTATAGTATTCCACATGAGAAATGTATATGTTTTTGGCCCACTTTGCGCGCCCCACAATCTTTGCTGTGAGAGCCAATTTTCTGCCCATCCTGAGATTTCTCATGGCAGCAATTGTGCAAGATGTAGGAGGTGTGGCAGATGCCAGGGATGAGAGAGAAGAACAGCAAATAAATCACCTTAGAATAAATAATAAAGAGAAGCATGAGTGAGCTTGTGGGTGAGTGTTCTCATGCTATTACAGTGCAATAATCAAGATTGGGCTAAACTTGCCTGTAATGTGCCAAAGCTTTTCCCATCTGGGGTTCCGGCCGTGGTATTAAATTCGCATTTTGGCGAAAAACGTTAAGTGCGTGATGACAACAGCAACACAGCCAGCACAGAGAGGCGAGTTCCATGTAGAGGAGCGCCAGGGAGAGCGACAGACACAGTTCGGCATCCTGTTGAGAGAATATAACAAATGCTTTTTGGTGGATTTCGTTTGAGGAAAAAAGTTCTGGCACAATGAATGTAACGTGCCTTTGCACTCATCTCTGCTCTTGTAGACATTAAATACTCATTCAATAGTAGTCCTTCCCAGAGGGGGAATGAAATAGAATATGACCAAGAGAATTAAGAGCGTCATGTTCCATCGATTAACCGTGAGTTCAAACTTCAGATCACGCGCTAAACTCAGGGGCAAGCATAAAAGGTGCTGAAGTACAATTTGCCGTCATGTCTGCAAAATGTTTACGGTGGCAAAATCTCTCACACCACTTAATCGTCTTTTTTACTATTGAGAGAAAATTGAATGAGAAGACAGAATGAAGAAAACATCATTATCACCCGAACAATTTCCACGATATACACACTCTCGGTCAATGGAAGATGAGAATCACGCAAGGAAATGAATTCTTCAAATGGACTGAACTCTCTCCATTCACTCTCTCAGCATTTTTATCCCGCCAGACACATCAATCACATCGGGACTCTGTGTGGAATTGTACAAAAATCCACCATCAGACAAAATCAATTCCACCCTTCAACTGTAGGATAAAAAGGCGTCTCAGTGAAAATTTCACCGATAATTTTGAGAGATTGAAATCCAGCCCACGCACGCCTTTCGGGTGGGACATTAACCCGCTATTGTACGGCACAGAAGTCCTCTAATGCCGGCTTGATTGATGACTTCAAACTGTATTATTTCGGAATAATGCTCACATGAAATGTGATTGGGAATCGATTGTGGAGTGACCGCCAAATTTGATGGCGGAGCATCTAGAAATAACTTTTTACACCCTCTAAGTTTTCCCCGGATATATATGTAAACCGATATAAATCCCGCTTTTGAGTGCGCTGAGAGATGAATTTGGACCCGATTCTGACCACTTGTGGATGAAAGAGAGCTCTTGGGCGCCAATTAAAACCACTCTGCATATATCGCTGTCTGAGAGTGACATTAAAATCGATAAATAATTCATGAGAGAAATAATGCAGAGGGATTTTTACCACTGGCGAAAAATCAATCAGCCCACTCTAGTTAACTTTGATAAACTATTTGGATAATTTTCTGTGGAATTTTCATGAGAATTCTTGCGATATTCGGCACTCACCTGAACACCACCGACACCAATTACGAACAAAAGTTGTCCCATAAATAGAGATGACAGAAAGCTCAGCAGAGACGTTCCCGCCAGGGAAGTGAGATCGGAGAATAGGCTGCAAATAAAATTTAATTAATTCACCAAAAGGCTCAGCTTCTTTTCTGCCCACCCCACAGCATTGTTGTCGAGCATATTCGGATGTAAGATAGGGACTGCGTGCGATGAGTTGTGTATGTGTAAGGGGTATGAATTTGTTGATACTGCTGCTCAAGAGTGGAGGCAAACAAGGTAGAAATGATAGTTATGTTGGCGCAAAGAAGGTGGGTTTGCTAGGGCTCATTGGAAAAGGCAATAAATTCCCCCGGGAGATGTTGTATTTCCCCTTTTAATACACACCTCAGCCCAGAAACACGGAACAGCCATCAGCAAGCGAAAGTGGAATTTTGCAAGCATCGCCAGCAACGGCAAACTTTTATCCTGTTTTAAACCATCACCAAAGCCCCAAAAGCCGACAGGTGCTAAAACAGAGGCTGAACGCTGTGAACATTGAATACACCGTCTGTGGGTGTCATATACACCGTTTAATACGACTTTCACTTTTGCTCATCTTCGTACGGCCTAGGGTCAGGTGTTTTGTTTGAACGCCGATAAGTACACGTGCAGATATCTTGAGGAATCCATGACCGCCGCCACTCTGCCGAGGGGATCAAATAAGTTGCTTATTTTAGCACTTCTTCTATCCACTTTCTGATGTTACACCACGATGTGCACTTAGCTCTGCTCACATATTTGTGCATAATTTTATAAGTGAGCTATACATGTGAAAAAAATAAGATTCGTTGTACATTTTATGGCATTCCATTGTGCACAGAGCATAACACTTCAACCCCTGTTTGTTATAATTGAATAAATTGGACATAAATATTCGTCCCCTAAATTGGGCCATAATACAGATAGAATAATAATTGCCGAATCCAGTGACGAGTTGACAGGAAACACGAATATTTCTCTCCGTGAATTGTGATTATTTGCCTTTGTTAATTTACAAAGGGTCTTTCCAAGGGAAACCCTCTTTTTGCTGTGTACTCGAGCATATTATTAGTAGACAGTGTAATGGTGTATTTTTCGGCGTGAATAAATCATTGCGCGCCAGAGGGGATGAAGTTTTCCTCTTCACGCGAAATCCCCTCACATGGTCTGCAATCTTAGCTAAATTGAGTGATCAATCGTTTATGTTTTGGTGCTTCGCTGTGGGAGAATGTGAATGTTAATTAACTGCGAGTGAAACACATGGTGCAGATGTGGGATTAAGTTTATTATTATTGTGCTTCCCAGCACAAAAAGGAAATGAGCTCAATTTATGATTGATCTCCAGTTTCAAATTATCCTCTGGCAAATGTATTTTCCTCGTCATCCTGATTCCACGAGAGCAATTCGATAGGAGACGAAATATATCCAAATCCGACATAATTGCCATGTACACTGGCGTTGAATGGGAAGAAGGTGTGAGGGCGGCAATAGAGTGCCATTGCGAGAAAATGGAGTGTTTTAAGAGTCTCCCTCAGACGTGACAAGAGCGTTGATTCGAGAAAGAGATTGAGCACGCTGATGAAGCTCTCTAGTTCGATTGTATTCAAATATTTATAAAGAGCATGGGGAATTGCAAGGAAGCTCGATATCGATGAGATTGTGCTCATTTCACCACAATGGGTACATTAGAGTGGTTGAAGGAAGAAAACGAATTATTATTTCGTGCTGTTGTACAACATTTTGTCAATAAATACCAGAGAAACTTTTCCCTTGAGTTTTCCAATAGCAACAGTTGAAGCTTTTATAACCTTAATAACTTTCAATTTGAGTTACATTGCAAATACCTGTATTGATATTAACATAGCTTCACTTGGGAAATTCCTTTGCACTTTGTATGAACTTCTATCTGCGCACTATTCTCTGAATTGTATACACGCACTTTTGATATTCATGATTGCTTTACATGGAATTCTTTGTATACTCCGCGATATCTATGTGAGATACATATTGCATAAATGTAATCTGTCTTTGCAGGAAATCGATAGCATTAGCAGATACTGTGTTACACGATTTCATGTGACACAAGTTCATGTGTGACGAGCAAATTTTTTCCAGGAATTATAAAGTACATTAAAAGTTCTACTTTACAACTTTGGTGAATTTATAGAAAATTGTTTAAGCAGCATTGAGAATGGTGGAGAAAAAGTTCCGCACTTTTTGTGATACTGATATTGAGAACATGACGCGTGGATAAATTACAGAACCAGGAAAGAAAGTTAAAACTTTAGTCATTTGAAATGTTTCCCTGTGGCTTGGGTGTGAGTTGGAATGTGGAAAAACTTAAGAAAAGGGAAAGCTTTTTCCTCCTAAATTCCTCTCAGTGCACTTTTTTTGGCTCCGCTTTGTTAACAAGATAAATTTACAATCAACCTTAACTGCTCTGTGTAAAGTTTCGAAATTTATTCTGATGGAAGAATCTTTTTGCCCAGGTTTTTCTATCAGCTGAGCTAAACTTGAGTGCACAAAACTAGGCGTTGACCATGAAAGTGACCGTAAATTGTTGGGTCCTTGGTGTAAAAGAGTGTTAAAGAAATGTTAGACCGGCAAAGGAAGCAAGTTATACATGAACAACTACGAAGAAGTTCACTAAGAAAGAGTAAATGTTTGAGAGAAAACGCAAACTAGGTAGTAAATAAAAAACTTTTCACCATATTCTTCTATTGAATGGGGTTTTTTTTTCTCAGAAAATTATCACCAGGATTTCCTTGGCTGTGTGCGTAAAGTGTGGGAATTTGTGCAACCCCTCGGGTGCAATAAACATTATGTACTTATGCAGGCAACATCGGAATGACGCATAAAATTATAAACGTGCACTAACACATTCCATGGAATTGTGTGCACACAAAACTCTAATGTCCGCAATCATAAATTTTCACTGGATGGTTTTCCATTCTGCTTTACGCCTTTCTTCTGAGTGCTTTTCCGAAGACACCGTGTCACAAGGGGTGGTTAAAAGTGGCGAAATTAAGCATACACAGTGGAATTTCTACAAATTAATTATGCATGTATGATGAATGAGTGCTTGTGAAAAAATGGAAGACAAACTTTCATGCAAAATCGACATTACCATTTTTCTTCTTCCTCCTCCAGGTTAATTATTTCAGAAAAGCTCCTTTCGCTTTCTTTTGTATTTATATTGTGACACACATACGCTTGTTTAGACACGATAAGTCATTCTATAAATAATCTCCGAGCAAATTTGCCCGCACATAAATATGTATTATTACAATACATCAGAATGAAATTTATCATTTTTCGACTATGGCCTTCTTTACTTCACGAAAGTCATTCTGTCGATGTGTTCCGCATGAGTAAGCTTTCGAGCTTTTCACCCTTGAAGGACACAATCTTCATCAAACGAAAAGAAATATGGGAAAAGGTCGAAATGTGCATTTTACTATATCATCTCTGGGAAGTGAAATCATATTTGGAAGCACATTTTTGGTTTGGTTACAAGAGCAAACATTTCACTTTTTAATACATATATGTACGTTGGAAAAATCAACAAAATTTCTTAATTAAAAATGAGACGCACAGAGTTTCAGAGCAAATGCATATCAAATTTGCCCTGAGCACTCGAAGTTGTAGTTAATAATTTCATTTTGCCGTCTACTGTTGGCATCTCGCTCTATTGATTGCATTTTAATTAAACAATAACAGTCATGAATATCTCGGGAAGGGTTTCGAAATATTAATTAAGCGGGAATTTAAAATACACACTTAATAGGCAGTGCATGTTTCAAAGGGACAATTTCCCGTAAATACATAAGTCAATTTGCCACTCACGTGGCAAATATTTGTTTTGTGGCCCTGCAATAGATGAGGAAAAGCCAGTGGTGAAAGCTTTTGCATAGTGTTCGATTCAGGCCATGAAAAATCATATTTCGAAAATATCAAGATTTGAGGCTGATGTGCTGGGAAGCAGGTCGTCCATTGCAAGATGACGAACCAGGGATTTGTCTTCTCTTGTCTATTTGCATCCTCGCGACAGTTGCCGCACAAGTAGTGTGATGAGAGTGTGACGGCGTGGAGAATGATTTTAATAATATATGCAAAATAGTGGTTGGAAAATTGGGGAAAGCACACAAGGGGATTTAGGCGCCACACGGTGATCTCGCATGTTTTTCGTGCCCGGAATATTGAGGGCACGTAATGGAAAAATGGTGCTTATATCGTATCATAACACATACATTGCATTCTTCGCGTTGACATTAAAGATATTTTCTGTGGCAATATTTTCGTAGAAAATATCCGTTTAATAGCACCAGAATGCGATGGAAGAGAGATGGTAAATTACTCTATTGACCTTGCAAGTGGAAATTGCGGGGTGAAAATCCCTCCCAATGTTGTATATATGCAAAGTTTCTCCATAACGGTCAGAGGGAAAGTGTAAAAAATGCACTTGCACTGTGATTTATGAAGGATAGAACTTCTCACTTGTACTGTGTGTGTGCAAAGAGTGATATTTCCGTGACTTATAGCAATTCTGCAGCCATTGGAAGGTCACTAGTGTGGAGCGGGCAATCATTTCGGAGCAAGGACGCTTTCGTCCCAAAGGCACGCTAAATCGATCTGTTTAATAGTTACTTTCAGCCTAATTTGTCGCTTCGCCTCTTATCATGACTCAATGTATAATTCCCAATCCGAATCCAATGTCAGCCCGAATCGAATTGCATTAAATCATGAAGTTTTCCTAATGAAGAATGACATCTCCCTGGAGACAGTGAATGGTAGTAGCGTATTTCCTTTACATATCAATTCGCACTCAGCCCAGCTTTGTGTAATACTGCTCTTGTAGAGGAGAAGACATTCAAGTGGATTTGGGAAATAATAAATTAATTGTCATTTGAAAGTTATATGAACATGCAATTGGCTTAAGTATGATTAATGCCGTGAAATATTCACAAGGGAGGGACAAACAATATATGAAATATATTTTATAACACATCCATTTTTATCCCCTGTTATTTTCTGCTTTCAACCTCCATACAAAAAAATGTTCCGCAGTGCAAATACTGTATTTAAATTTGAATGCCAGTGTGTATTTGAATTTCTGTATACGATGGCAAACAGATATGAATTTTTCGTAGAAATGGAAAACATAGAAGTTGAAATAAAATTAAACATCGGACACACAAAGCAAATATTACGAGGGATGGTACAAAATAATTTAATGATCCAATGAACCTGTGTCAAACGTATGAATCGTAGAAAGTCGTGTTCGGAGTCAGTTTACAATTGGCGAACAATTTCATCTATTTTCATTTCATTTGGATTTCAAAGAAAAAATTACCCTTTAAAGCTTTGTTTTGGGGAATTTAAAGCAAACTGCTCATGGACAGACAGTGATTGAGTGTAATATTATGTAGATTGACGCGTACACAAATAAATTGCTCTCAGTCCCACACCTTCTTGCCTCGTGCAATGTACAGAAAGTACATTTATAAGAGGTTGAAGTGTCACCAGCTGCAGATGCCACAAATCGGATGGCAAATGGTGTGACAAGGCAGTGCAATTCTCCGTGAAGAGATACATAAACTGAGCACATGATTGCCACAAATGTGGGAGTTTTCTTTCATTCACTTCCTTGGTAGGGGCTGAACTGACAGCATCATGATGTGACTCACATATTGTGGACGGGAAAAGTGCAAGATTTCATGCTATAATGCTGGTATCGCATTCCTTCTGCCATGTCGCAATAAGTGACTCTGGCAACGCATTATTATTACTTTTCCACTTCCTTGTAGCTCTGGGAAAATTTTGAGTTTTGCCTTTTAAATTTCCGACATAGTTAGTGAAGAAAGTTTCCCGAGAAAAAGTGAGTATTTTCTAATTGGATTCTCAACTTTAACGTGTTATAAGTTGAGTGCGAGAGCAAAGATTAAACTTTATCACTGTGCGAGAAGCACGGTGAAGCTCATAGAATTATAAGTTTAAATTTCATGTGATTCATTGCGATATAAACTTCAATTTAATTTTATATCTTTGGGGAAATGCATTAGCCAGAGTTGACTGTAATATGAATAATTTCACTATTTTCAATGAATATTTATTATGCTCGCTGTTTAATCTCTCTATGCAGCGAACAGAGCATCTCAAATTGGATTACGGAATGGTTCTTATACGCACGGTCGAGGTTGCGTGTCGGTGCGATAATATGGGTAAATGTGCTCCAAGATAAGGTGATACTTTGAGTGTTGCACAGGGCGCGATACAAAGTGGATTACAGCATTAAAAGTGTGAAGCGATATTAATGGGATGGGGCGGAAGGTTGGAGGCGTGCGAGGGTGAGGAAATAAAGTGGAAAAATACATTTGGCTCTGACTTTTAGGAGTTGAAAACACGTGAAGTGAAAAATTATGTGACTTATGTGTGAATTGGGGAAAGTGAAACTGTGGAAAGAAAGTGAAGGGCGAGCAAGAAAGTCACTTATTGCTTACCTATATGTGATGAAGGCAAATGCCAGTCCAACGAGACTTATGGAGCTCCCAAGAACGACGCCGAGTGCCATGAGGCCACCCTGGGCGCCCCACGATGCTCCCATCGCCGCCACGGACAAATTTGTGGTCGTAGGTGGAAAACCATGCATGTGACCCGTGAAGAGTGTTTCCACTGCAAGTGATACCAAAGTGTTCTCTCATTAAACTTTCTCCCACTTAATCACACTTCCTAATTGGGCAACTCAGACACTCTGTACATAACATATCACTTTGTTCTCAAAGAGCTTGTCTAAGACAATTAGACAGTGATATCACCAACCCATTAGTGGGTGTCTTAGATCGGTGTCTGGGTTGTTATTGTGCAGAGGAAATGGGATAGAAAGGTGTTATGTGAGCTTACATAGGTTGATATAAATTGAATTATAATTTTTCAGGTTGTCTCTCTATGAAATCCTCTCATGCAATAAGGAAGAATTTCACCACAAAGTGTAACTTCAATGTAATTAGTAGTCAAGCGTGAAAAAGCTTGCGGCAGCATTCATTCTCATCCCTTCAAATATCGAATTTCCCGCTGTTCACGACACACAGTCAGGAAGGACGCAAGGATGAAAAAGATGAAAGCGCCTCTGTGTCTGGAAGTGATTTTTCCTCGCATGTCTTTCACAAGAGTATCCAAAACTACTGACACGGCGCATAATTGGAAATGTCATGAAGCAATTGAGTATGTGCTGTTAAGAGCTTCCCCCAAAGCTTATCCCTTGCGGAAGGCAAGAAAAAAAACATCCATACAATTACAGAAACTTTAAATGAGTTCGAATGTTAAGTGATATACTTGCTAATAGGCGAAACTATTAGACATACGATGTGAGCTTTCATGAGGAAGAAATTTACATTTCATGCATGAATGATTCTAAAATTTTCGGGATTCATTTTCACAAATGCTAAGTCGCTTTTCATGTTGAATACCAGGAATTCCCACTTTACTACACTGAGAGAAATAATTGATTCGATATTCTCATAACTACATATGTATGTATACATATTAAAGGCAGGTAAGTTCTCTCAGTTCGGGAAACGTGATAAACCCTTGAATTTGAAGTCTCAGCATAAGCTCTGCGAATGAGGGAAAAGCTCTGATTTCGGGAAATGTGATAAATAAACGGTTTTCTGCGTTATCGTATTGAATGCCTCTCTCCTTCGCGTACGCGTGTAAACGCACCATCGCTGAATATTAATTGATTCGTACACATGATACTCTCGTGTGTGCTGTTTGTACAGAATCAATTTACCGCGGATGGGTTAATCACCCTCTCGGAAGCCCGATAAATTAATTACATGGAATTTTTCCTAATTACCCTGTTATCCCGTGGCACAGACAATTTCCAGCTGAGTGACTTTTGCCTGGGCAGTCCCTCGTCATGATATCTAAATCCGGACGCCGAGGGGCTTACGAATGTCGGATGGCGTCTAATGCGATCAACTGTGTCACCTATTTACTGATTTTCTCACCAACTCTCCGCCCCCGCAGAAAAGAACCCATTGAGATTGTTTGTACACACAACTGACGTGCCATCCGCAGGAGAGGCCATGATGTACATAATCCCCGTCACGGTGTTTTGCGGATTTGGCCAGAAGCTCGAGTTCCCACTGAGTGTGTTGACGGTGACACACACACCCTTCCCCAGTGGACCGAGCACAATTTACCGGAAGAGGGTGGACTTATAAATTAAATTAAGGTGCCGCTCTTTAGGGTTCCCTGCATTCACGGTCATAATTAAAAAATCTAATACCGCATTGTGGAAGCCCAGCAAGGGCAGCCGTCCGGAGAGCGTGTGAGCGAGTGAATTTGAATGCAAATGAGCTGAGGAATGCGGTGGAAAGTCTCCCTATTCAACACATTCATTGAACTTTGTGCTAAGCGAGAACTTTCTGGCAATTTTCACATTGATTTTCTATTCGTATCAAAGAAAATTCTCAACCGTGCATCTTTTAATTAAAAAACTTCGCCCCTTTCTTAAAGGGTCATAAAAGGTGTGTTAAATTGGTAAAAAGTGTTATGCGGTCTGCAATTCTAGGGAATTCACGAGGCAATTTGGTGTCATTTGTCATAAAAGAAAGTTGCTGTCCATCAGTATCACTGTAATAAAGATCTAAATAAATAAATCTAATAGAAAATTCATGATGATATTCAAGTTTATTTACATACTATTATACGCTTCGTGGCGCATCCAATAAAATGTCTCATATATTGAATATAAAAAAACCGTCAATAATGGTTATGTTTTGCGGAGAGTGACGTGTGGCGACAAATATAATGCCAATACAAGAAATAGACAGAATAGGGGTGTTATATTGCTGGTGTGATAAATGACTGCATACAAATGATGAAAGATTTCAGCGTACAAATCGCTTTCCCATGCTATGTGCTGAGCTTTTAATACAGACTGCCGCATGTGACATTGCGACACGTTTCTGGTCGCATAGCCCGGAATATCTAGCAGGCGGACCTCTATAAAATTGTGCGTATATTTCAGAGAGAGGGTGACGGAACGCAAGGGGAAGCATGATAAAAAGGCGAGCATTAAGGAACGACATCGTGGCAAGAAATCAGAGAGTAGCGTATCATCATCGATTCACCCATGATTGATGGGGCCATAATAAGTGAAATATAATTCATATAGGCGGGAAAGTGTAATACATATGTATGGGGCTCAATATGAAAGGATTAAACGCCTGACTGAGATATTTTCACATATTACAAGAGGAGAATATCGAATTTTTTTCTAGGCCTTATCTAGCACATAAAATTCTATAGTAATAGCACTCTATGTGCCTCTTAACTCACTCCTTACTGCAAATTCAGGACATATTCTCTGAGAAAGAGTGCTTAATGATTTGCGATTTTCCCACAAGAGCTTACCCCGGAAAATTATGGAATACAATACATCAATTCTGATCAATCTTGTGATTACTTTAGCGATCAGCATCATCATTTGTAATTTGACAAGAATTGGCAGTGAAACGACGGCAAAAGTGCTGACAATAAACTACCATAAGTTCTCATCCTTAATTTCAACGCTTCAGCACATTTTTCTTCACTATATGCAAAGAAATTTATATGTAGAGTTATTTAACGTTCATTTTCGCGAGTGAATATTCATAAATTTCAAAGTTACAAACATGTGAGGGAAATGTTAATCTAACTTCCACAAAACGTCTTACAGATCGCATTAGAATTCATGGCTTATTAATTTCAATTTCGGTTTTTGGCGACAAACATGCGCTTCAAGACGACTTATTTGTGTTTAATGAAGGGTTAATAATTCCTATCTCTCACCATAGTTACGATAGTTAATTCTTATTATCGATATACTTATCATAATTGTAGTCACGCGCCGATCGAAAGGCAAGATTGTGTCCGTCTGGGAGGACAAGAAAACACTGGGAAATTTATGGAAAGTCATCATATCCGTTTACTTTAGCAAAAACTTGCGATGACTTCATCAAAAATTCTTCTCTCTGTGCCACGTGAAATTGATGATTTACTCCACCAGTCATCAATCCTTAATGGTATAAAAACAATGAGGATTTTTTGCCAAGCCAAAATATTTGGGATTTATGACCAGTGGAGGTGCCTGGTGCGAGTCATAAAATCTCTCGAGAGAACTCGACTCAGCGTGAGATTATTTTTCCCGCCAATTCCGAAATGCGGATATCAACTTTTGCACTTTGTGTACTTGTTAATTATGATTCACATAATGTTCTCCCAGTGACATTTATCATCGCAACTCCTCCCCAGTCTTTTTCCTGTATCAAGGGGTAAACATGTGCCACTCTGAGTGAACTCGGATTGCGAAGATTGTGTGATTGCGCCAAAAGATTGCGGATTGCGCCCAAAGATTGCGGATTGCGCCTAAAGATTGTGGATTGCGCCTAAAGATTGCGGATTGCGCCTAAAGATTGCGATTTTACACTAAGGATTGCGGATTGCGCCCAAAGATTGCGGATTGCGCCCAAAGATTGCGATTTTACACTAGGGATTGCGGATTGCGTTTGGGATTGCGAAGATTGCGTTCTGAGTGAACCGTGATTGCGCCACATGTTTACCCCTTGTCCTGTATCATCCGTCGAATACAAATAACTCAGGCGACCCAGGAAACATTTCTTAGTGTGGTGGAGAAAAAAGCTCTGCCCATCTCTGCAGAGTCTGTCCTTGTGCGCCTTTCATTCCCTTTTTATGCAGCACACTTTGTCCAAATAGCAAAGAACATGTGAGAATGTATAAGAGGTGACATTCATGTGAATAATCAAATAAGAAGCGATATAAAGTTTGTATTTGTGATAAACTGAGATGAATGAGCACAATGATGGATATCACAATGTATTATCCCTCTTCTCGCATCTAAAAGAGGACTATTTCGGTATTGAGGAAAAAATTGATGGATCAAAGGGTGGCGCATTAATGATACTATTCACGTCTTCTGCCTTCCATTCTAAAGACACACAATAGCGGAGCAAAGTTACTCGTTTTGTTCCACGTTCGGCAACTTGAAAATTGAATAAACTTTGAGGGAATTAAAAAAGTCACGAACCATGAGAAACTTGATTAATTTCCAGTACTAAACTTTATGCAAATATTTTATTAACGCATAGCCGGCAGAACCCCACGCATTCCATTACCCAGGAAATATTTAAATAAGGATCCGTGCCTCCTTAGACCAAGGATAGACATTCGTCTATTGCAAGTTGTGTGACGCGTCGTAGGAGAAAAAGCTATTCTCATTAAAATTTTATTGCCACTCTATGCCCAATCCTCATGGGAAGTCGTTTAATGTGAGATTCGTGATTTATCAGACTCCTGCAATTACCATGCAAATATTGAAGTATATGAGTGCGCTTACTTTTATCCTTATCAAATATCAGGTGGATATTCAGAACAATTCATCTACATTTTCTCATTAGCCAGTGTTCTTGGGAGTAATTTGCTTCTTCGAGTACAAAATGAACATGCAAACTTCAAGACGGCGTTTGTCCGCAACAATCATTTTCACCTCAAATTTTCACAAAAAGCCACTTGACACTCTCACATCATGTCATCGTCAGCTCGCGACAAGAACTTTCCTCACGCCAATTTCAGTCCGCAGATGAACACCGTGCGACAGATGAGCTTTAACTGAACGGAAATCGTATTGAACAACAAGTTTATACCACATCCTTCAGCAATGTGAGCTTCAGGCATACTTCAGGCAAAACATGTGAGAGAGAAGGCAGTCTGGCGAGAGGAATGTCTCTCACGCATGCGGTCTTCAAGTTCTTAGCGAGCTTCCCATACAGGGTTTTCCAAAATCTGCAAAGAATGCCAACAAATTTAGAATACAAATTGGTAAACAATCCGTCCAATTAATTTGATATGGCGTATTGACAGTGCATTCATCATGAAAACTACCCCAAATCGGTGGATATTTGAAAAATATGCCATGAACTGTAAATATCCATGGAAGACATCAATCAAATGAGCACGTGATTTAACCGAATAACCAATTGCTCAAATGTTTACCGAACAATTTACCACCAGTATCTCTACTATTTGCTCATTGAGCATCACCAAACTATGGTTGTGATTTATTAATTTCCCAGTTTAATTGGTTTGTCAGGAAATTGGATATACGAAAGTGTGTTTGCAGCTAATATTGACTGTGAAATATTCGCGTGGAGCAAATATCATTACATAATGTAGAAATCCTATGTATTAAATATAGAGCTTCTCCCAAGAAGTGTGTAAGAACAAACTGTGTGTAGATTCGAAATAAGTTGTATAAACTTGTATTTGCTCTTATCTCACCTTTGTCGACCCTTTCTTGAACGTGGTCTTGAGCTCAACAAAGGCTAAATTAGACACTTTCAAGCAAAACATTAATATCTTTCACTGGGATCCGTCCAATTTTCAATTTTCCTTGCCTTTTTTATGCCAACCCACCAGATTGGGCTCTACATTTCTCTTGCTTTTTGCCAAGAGTTGGGGTGTGGTTTATATCACCGGAAAGGATGAACTATCTATACTAATATCTTATATCCCCTTGAGCTTACCTTCAATCCTGCGGATGGACAGAGGGAGAGGATTTCTTCTTCCATGTCGGAACACATTGTTGGATGTCCTTGAGGATCTTAAGGATATACTTATGCCTCGCCGAATGGATTAATGTCCACAAATTGTGTGCAAGCCAGAAAACACATTTTCGCTCGACTCTAGAGACGCATCTAACCTCAGAGCTAATGGCATTAATACGCAATATTTGAATATTTCCACCTCAAAGACCACGAGAAATTCAAACATAAATTCAAATACGGTCCATTGAGTGCAATTCCCAATGCCCAGACCGCTGTTATCGGGGTTAATCGTCTTGGGGATCCCAAATGATCTTAATCTTGGGTTTCTCCATGGATTATTATGGCCACACTTCTACTTCGCATAATCATTTATTTGATTTATCAATCTTTCAAAAGATATCCCTCACAAATTCACTCCTTTCGCGCCACAAATCCCTCTCCATGGCAAACAGTGACTGATTGGGTTTTTTGTAATTGCCAATCCGAAGATAATCGAGAGGAAATTTATCTGCCGAACTCCATTCCACGTCCACATTCTCCACAGGGGTTGGTCTTCTGTAAGTGTGAGAGTCATTGTAAATATCTGGTGTCGATGTGAACGCAGAGACATGTGTAGTATATTACCCAGTGGTAGCGAAATTGACCCATAACTTCACCATTCTTTCCTGGATGAAAATATCCTGCATGCTGGGCGCTGCCCTGAAGATTGGTTTATCGAGCAGCGGAAATAAGTACAAGAGTTCATCGCAATGAGCGACACCTTTAACAGCCAGACAGATTAATTTTTCAGGGGGTGGACTTGAGGAAGAATTTCATCTAATTAAGTGCACATTTACCGTAATTCATGCTGTTTGGGCCAGCCAGTATATCACTAAAACTGCCTTCGCCGCGATGGGAGAAAAGATACACAAAAGTATCCGCAGATTTTGTGCCTTCCTGGAAACGCCTTCTGAGATATTCATCCATTCCTTTGAGCATGATAAAATCTGTAAACATCTTTAAGGAGAAGATACATGAGAAATTGAAGGCTTTTTTGAGTGTTTTTCGCATTACATCTGTAAAATTCTGTGTCACTTCCATTGCCAATCTTCCACTCTTGCCGCCGAAGTAGAAATTGCTTATTGACGATGTGATTTCAGCCCTTTTCGCCTCATTAAAATTGTTATAGTAGAGCAAAAGTGGGAGAACCTCATTCCAGCGCTCGTGTAAGTCCTGCACGAAGCGTGGTTTACCTAAAATAGCTGAAAGAGGACACCTATTAGGCGGAAGACATTTCATGGGTTAAGAGAAATAATTACACGCTGTTACATAGGCACCCTCATCACTTGTTAATCCAATTAGCAGTGGAATCTTGAGACTATGGTTCACGTGCATAGTCTTAGGAGGTTCCGTGAGGAAAGCTCCCTCACGATCCTTTTCCAGCGACGGCGGAAACACAGTTATTGGTTTTCCCATCCATTTAACGAGTCTCGAAGTAGCCTCCAAAATATTTTCAACAGACTTCTGTTGCAAGCATTCCGCTAATTTGGTGAAGTTCTGATGTCTCAGTCGATCGCATCTCAACTCCTCAGCAAGCTTCACAGTGCTCTGCAGAGCTTGAGCGGTGTCCCAAAAAGCCCAAGGATTGTCATAGGTTCCGCTCTGGGCGATCGCTCTGTGGAATAGACCTCTAGCTGAAGGATAGGACATCAAGTAAGTCACAGAAGCTCCTCCTGCGCTCTCTCCGAAGATTGTCACTTGATCTTTGTCTCCTCCGAAAGCTCTGATATTCTGCTGAACCCATTTTAGAGTTTCCACTTGATCTTTCAACCCAAAATTTCCCGGGCTATCACTTGTGTTTGTTGTCAAGAAGCCCAATGCTCCCAAACGGTAGTTTCCAACGACTAGAACAATGTCGTGATCCAATAAAAAGTCAGGAGAATAGTGCGAGGAAGCTCCATGTCTGAATCCTCCGCCATGGAAGTATACCATCACAGGTAAACTGTCATTTCTGCTGGGAAACTGTTGACAGAAAAGCATTTCAACACCCTTCTACACATCTAGAACAGCTGCAGACTTACTTGCGGTGCATATACACTTAAATATAGACAGTCTTCTTTTCCAGAGTATACATTATTTCGTAATTGATCGAATTGAGGGCACATCACTTCATTTGACACAGTCTCTAGATATCCATTCCACGGAGCTTTCGCTACGGGATTTCTAAACCTGAGATTTCCCACTGGCTGTTCGGCGTATGGAATTCCCATGAAAGCGCGAATTCCGCGTCCTCGAAATGACCTCAAATATCTTCCGATAATTCCTCCTCCATGCGGAAGAGTGACTTTGAGTGAATCTGAAATTCTACTCTCACAACTTTCCAAGCAGAAAGTGATGAGAATAAGAACAACAACAATATGCAAACTTCCCGATGGAAAACGCATCTTTCTCTTTTGAACTTTCTCGAGAGACTGATTTATGTAACCAATGTTTCAGAGACAGATTAGACTTTATGCATACTCGGGTTATCGCGTAACGTCATTATTTTTGATAGGTACTATTTACATAACAAACCCAGCGCTTGCTTATTTACTAATTGTGTTTTGGTACATTGATAACTACAGGGAAATGTGTTATCCACTCTTTTCCCGTGGCATTTAATAAATCAGCGTGGAAAACAAAATTCCTATCACAAATACATTGTAAATATCTGATTGTCAATAAACAGTCATACATTCCATCTACAAGGGGTAGTCACAAGGCAATTTTTGATGAAACTTAATGCGCTCAATCAAGTATTAAAATATTGATATTATTATTTTTATGGGAAATATTAAAAAAATCAATTATTGAATACAATAATGAAAAAAGAAAATTTTCCAAGTAAAATTGCAAAATAATCAAATATATTCAAATATGTAAATCAGATTTGAGATTTATTTTTTTTATTTTCTGAATAATTAAAAAAAAATTAAAGGAATTAAAAAAAACTCGTGAATTTATAATTACATGTTTTCTAAAAATTAGACCCGGGCGGCTGACGCCCAGATCAAAACTAAAAAATATGAAAAAATGTCTTTTTAAATTCCAAGCAATTCTGAGTTGATTTTCTTCCAAAATAGCGATCTTTCCTCGTACAATCCGTTTTCCATGGCGATTATTGGAGCGTCACTTTGATGATAATTGCCGATTCGCAAGTAATCGTACGGAAAAGATCCGGCGATTTTCCACTCCGGAAGCGAAGAATCGTCAGATTGTGGAGTTGGATTCCTGCGACAGTCAACAAAAGTCTCAGTGCTGAATCAGTAAGACAAATACTTCGAACACATTTCAAATCTCACCCGAATTTGGCAAAGTTCACCCACATCGAAACCATCGCATTTCGGATGAAATCGTCAATTTCTGTAGGCGCGGCCCTGAAGAAAGTCCCTTTCATAACAGGGAACAAGTATATCAAATCATCCGTATGTGAGACTCCTTAACAAATATACAAAAGTTTATTTACAGTAGGTGGTAAATTTTCACTATATTTACCATAATCATCTTCGTGATTTCCTGAATATAATTCTGAATAACTAATTTCGCCTCTGTAATTGAAGAGGTACAAGAATGTGTTTGAAGAGAGGCATTCTGGTGCCCGTTTCTCCAGAAAAACATTCAATCCGTTCATAAAACATGTATCAGATCCCGACTGGAAGCCAAAAAGTTGTTAATATTTACATTAACTATTAAATACCAAATTTACATCTGTAAACTTTTGAAACATTTCCGGATCATTTAAATCCACCTCACGATTCTGGTAATAAAAATCATTTATCATATTTGTTATATGATCTTTTCTGTCCTGGTTGTAGTCCGCATATGCAAAAACGTGTGGCAAAAGAACATCCGAATTACTTTTCAAATCGTCAACGATGTCCTGTTTACGCAATATTGCTGAAAATTGAAAAGTAGTACAAGTGTTTAAAAGATAGCCTTCAGAAAACGCTGTGAAATCGAATATTTACTACTGCTTATTATATTCCCTTCGCTTGATGTCATCCCTATCATCAGTGGAATTTCATGTCCTCTTGATATTTTCGCTGGATCTTCTGCGAGAAATGCATTTTCACTTTCCGGCTCTACAACAGGGCCCCAAACAACAAATGGAAATATATCCCACATGAAAAAATCGTAAAAATGTGAGATGAGTTCTTCTGATGATATATTGCGGAGACATTCGATCATTTCTTGCACATCATCTGCTGGGCAATTGACAGTCTCAGCCAATTTCTTTGAATTCTTTGCTGCAATTTCACTATCTCGTCTGGCCCATGTTGAGAAATGAGTGCCACTTTGAGAAATTGCGCGATGAAAGAGTCCTTTTGACAGTGACGATATTGTATGATAAGTCACACTTGCGCCTCCAGCGCTTTCACCGAAGATTGTTACAGAATCCTTATCGCCACCAAATTGCCCGATGTTCTTCTGAATCCACTTGAGGATCTCAACTTGATCTTTAAGACCAAAATTGCCAGGACAATCGGGAGTATTTGTGCTGAGAAAACCGAATAATCCAAGTCTGTAATTTCCAGAAACAAGAATGACGTCGTGATCCAGAAAATAATCCGGACTATAGCGAGATTTCGCACTGTTTCCAGTCATAAAAGCTCCGCCGTGAAAATATACCATCACTGGCAGCGGATCATTCGTTTCTGGATTCTGAGGCACATAAACATTTAAGTAGAGACAATCTTCACTTCCAACCGATGTGTTATCTTTTCTGATAATGTAAACGAAACTAAGACACCCATTCGGTTCCCAAACAGCGTCAAGTGGTTCCGTCCAAGGACTTTTCGGCACCGGATCTCTGAATCTCAGACTTCCGAGCGGAGCTTCGGCGTAAGGAATTCCCATGAAGGCTCGAATTCCTCTGCCTGATTGCGAACTGAAGTAGCGACCGATCAACTCACTTCCATCGGAAAGAGTGACTTTCAGAGATTCCGATATTCGAGCATCGTGCAAAACGAAATTCACACTGAGAATCGTCACGAATAATGGAAAATTCATCTTCACTTCTCGAAGTTTAGACAGAAACTGAATAATCGGGAATCTGAGAATCCATTTGGAATGTTAACTGTGATCAGAAAGAAATGCCATAAGTGTCGTGGTCGTGATATACCTTTAATTGGTTCTTAAGTTTTTCTCTGTTATTGTTTCTCAAAGATTACAACATAAATATAATTTTCCGTAACGGAAATAAGATAACGAAAAATAACATCTGTTTATTATCGTTAAGATGCTCTTTCTTGCTTCAATTTTTCATAATTAAATCATTTATATTTGTACCTGAGAGTATGTAAATGAAAAACTTTTATATTGCTCACTGAAGCAGGAAATACATGACAATTTTTGTAAACAACACCATGAGGAGCAATCACTCTCTCTTAATTTTGAACTCTCATTTCAAACTTTTAACACACTCTGTAGAAACTCCATCAAAGTTCATACAAAAATTTGCTATATTACATTAAAGAGAGTGGTATGAAAGCTTCTCAAATTTACCGTACATTTTTGCAAAGAACAAACTTTTGTAATGTATTTAATAAATTAATGATGGTGTAAGCACTACTTTGCTGTCTTGTACATTAATGGAGAATTTCCATTGCATAATCCTGCTTTATCGAATAATTGATCTTTGTTAGATTTATGAGTGACTATTAATCAGTTATATAGAATCAGTTTGCTATAGTTATTGCTAGATATATTAGGAGGCACGAGTGACTAACCATCAGTGATTTGTGCATGCGAATATTATTAAATTTTGCTACACATTTGAGTGCGCTTATCGAACATAATGTCTGCATATCTGATAGGCTTTCGCTCTATCGAAATATGACAAAACTACCAATATTGTGACGCTATTTATTGAAGCTCCATTGAATCTCCCACTTCCGAAATCGTTCATTCGTAGGCAGCATTGCTCAAGGGGTGGTTAAGTTAATTGAGCACGAAGCGATAGCTATGACAACGTGTTATCTATTTCCAACTAAAGTAAGTAATTCTCACACTCAACAAACAGCCTTAAAAGCACATCTTCACGAGAAAATTGATACCCAACACAGCGTATAATCTAATAATATTTTTTACTTCGCTCGGTATTTTGTACAGAGAACGCTTTTAAATTGCTAGTGACATTGATGTACACATATATCTTGCATCAAATGGTGCATGATAAAGCGCCGTTGTGCGCTGTGCCGCCTTCACACGAAGGTATGAGAAGGTGGCACATATTTCCACGATAAATATTTGATATAACATCACACAAAAGAATTGTGTAGTGAAGAGAATTGGAATTTCGTTGGGAAAAACATATTTTTAAAGCTTCTCAAGCATTTTTCATCTTAATTTAATCAACAGGAACAACATTCATGATACTCTTCATCACAGAGTATCTGTATTTATTGAAAGTTGATAGTATGAATCCAAATTAAAATTAAACAATTTGTCTTGAAAAAGCATTTGTGGCGAAAGTTGGTAGGAGTTTAAGCAAATGACAACACGGTAATAAAACTTTTTGAGTGTGCCCAGAGAGTGTTTTCGGAGGGAAGAGACATGAAATTAGGGGTTAACGTTATTTTCAATTATTTTGCTTTATCCCCAGAAACCACAATTGCAAAAGGTCTCCAAAGAGGATACCAAAACACACCCACACTTTCAACTTTCTCCCGCACTTGTACGTGAAATCGGCCCCAAAATAAACTTATTATAGACACATTTTCAACCCCTGGAAACTCTCTCAAGCATTTCGATCAATATTCACAATCTACATACTTTCATCTCGTTTGGCCATCAGAAACATCTCGCATATGCGGAGTGTCCCATGAATATACAACACAAGAGGTGTGTATAGAGTTATGAAAATCATATGTTCGACTCCTACAATAGAGATACGATCAGTTATTAGACCTTCTGGAAGTTCATGCCAAAGAGGCCGATCTGAGGAATTGAAGGGCATAAATTTACCAAAGTGGACGATTATTTAGCGGCGTTTTGGTGTAAAAGTTTCACCATATATTTTTGGTTTTTCCAGCCTTTATTGCCCCTTTACCCTCTAATGTCTCGCCAACATCGTAAATTCTGTGAAAATTCGATGAGCTTTCACAGATACGCTCGCCCTGCAAAGCACATTGCGTGAAAAGATGAAACCATTTTATGAATTTGCGACTATCATAAAACTCCTCACAAAATATTGCAACGTAAACTCTTCATTGAAAGTGTTAAAAGAGTTGAGCTATTTGAAAAATGCGGCGCTTTGACAGTGGCTTCCATAAAAGCTTTTAAGCAAAATATAAGATTTTAATTGTCTGCTTTTACGCAATTCTTCGTACTTCTTTTTTTCCTTTCTGTACTCACAGCGTGTTGTAAACGAAAATGAAAGCCCTTTTACCCACTCGAGTAGTCCATTACATATGAATGAGCTTTCAAAGTTCTCTAGCTCACATTTTTCCATTTCCATTACACTGGCTTTATTGTGGGTGGTTTATATCCCATGCTCGTTCGCCGCTTGGTAATATTCTCGAGTTCTCCCACAAATGCGAAACTCACCCTAAGATGTCTTCAAACAATAGCTGTCAGATTATCTGAGTCATATTTTTTCACACTACAATTTACTGTTTATCAATGGAGATGGTATAAAAATTACATTTTATCTCAATGTTTGGCATGTCTCCTCACAGTGAGTGCCATAACATAAATTACACACCCCATGGATCAAAATCATAGTGCGATCTTTTGAACTTGTGCTTTTCTTCCGTCACCCATTCTTTCTCTGGGAGCGCAACAAAAGCATGATAAATTCGTACAGAGACGATGATGTCACGCATCGTGGTGGAGACATTCTCTCGTGAATTCATGAGATGATGTCTTGTGTGAAATGTTGCAGCGGAATTGCCAACACATGCCATCAATATACATATCCACATTTTTCTGCGAGCAGTGACAAAAATTGAAAACTCAATGAAAATTTAATATACAGTCTGACGTCGCCCACGCAATTTTCTCGGAAACACCTCCCAAATGAGCTAGCAAAGGGAAAAAGGGAAACAGATGAAGAGCCATCTGCACAACAGACGTCAAGCAATAGGAGACGAAGAATAAAATTTAAATTGGATACCAGGGAAACTTGAGAAAGCGCTAGATGAAACTTCTTCGCTAGATATGTTGTACATCAACTGAGTAGGACCACAAAAGACCACCCATAAGGACAATACTCAAGCTAAGAGGTCATAAAAAGAAACGTAAATATCGCACAAGCTGTATATAAAAAATATATATCACAGGAAATTTATATTTATATTAACTCTGTAATTTTTATGTGAAGCTCTCAGCGTGGTGAATGCAGTAAAAATGGTGATGTTGTAAAACCTGGGCATGAAATGACCCATCAAAAGTCATTTGAGACATTTTTGTTGGCACAAATTGCAATTGAGCAGCTGGAAGTTACTCAAACGTAAAATGCATGAAACTCAATTTTTATCCATATAAAAAACGCTTTTTACAACTTCACCGGCAATTCAGATTTTACATACAAGTCTATCCAACGGCAATTTCTAAGGATTTTCTGGCGTTTCTGGTGTTCTTTAACTGCTGGCGGCGCTTCCGTAATCGCGGTTTATGCTGAGGCTTTTCATCGTTTTCATCGGAGTCCATTGGATGCCATTAGCAATAACCATGGCCACATCGAGCTGGGGTTAGTCGTGTTTGTTTTCTGTGAGAGTTACCAGCACGCAACATAAATCCTCGTGCGAAAGGAGGACATCATGGGGGTGTGAAGAGGTGGAAGGCAAAAGTGGTTCACCAATTTAACGCGATGAGGCTTTGCATACAACCACATTACACCATTCACCTCTAAACTGAATGCATGAAAGGAGTCGTTAGCAATTTCCCAGTTCCATTTGCTGGCGAACACGGAGATGCTAAAGGGCGATTTACACACTCGCATAGCGATAATTCCGATAGTGGATAAATTTATGGCGAAAGTTCCGTTAAAATTAAAGTTGTAATTTTTTGCCACAACTGTCTATATTTGAGCATGTTTTCAAGCACGACAAGAAGAAGACCAAATGCAACAAGTGTGCGTTCAAATGTAACTCTAAATTCTGCTAAGCTAGAAATGCTGAATCTTCCAATCAAGCAAAGAGCTGAGGTTTTAGTAAATTCACATTCAAATGCACACTGTGAGTCACATACTCTTGCCACACAATTCTAACATTTCCTGCACGGATTTCTTGGAAATCCAACGGAGAATTCCAAGGTAAAGACGTGAAGTGCCAAGAAATAATCCCCAATGGAAACGTGCTATAAATGCTCAATCAGAAATGTTTGATATTTCACTTGAGGCACACAGGAAAGAATGAAAAAGGTTTCAATCAGGAGCAATTTAGGTGAAAATTTCGCTCATTTCATGCTAAATTTTTAATCGTGATTTCCCTCTCGACACCAATCATGGCATACAAAAGAGCTACAAGATATGAAGGATATTGAATTCTGTAGCGAGAACCATTTGTCTGACGAGAGGGATTTTCTGGATGGAGTGGAAAAGTCAATTACACTCGTTTTGAGAAAATCAATTTTCTTCAGACACTTCATTTATCTCATAAATACTAAATGCTCACGAAAATCATAATAGCTATGCTTGTAGCATCCTGTCTGGGATATGGAACAAAAGGTGGCGTATTTTGAGAGATGGAAGAATGTGAGGAAAGAAATGAATTGAAATTCCCTCGGAAGGAAGTTACACGAGAATTCATTCAATTGCAAAACTCTGTGTGAAACTTTGCAATAAAAGTATTTATTAAATGAAAAAGAAACTTTTCGGCTTTCTCTTTTGGGGAAACCTGAGCCGTTTCAGCTGCAAGAATGGCTATTGAGAGGTGTGTTTGATGGTGGTGGAAAAAAAGAAGCAACACGCTGAAAGTTTGGAATTTCTGCTAAAAATAAATATAATACATTCTCCGGGCGTGCAAGTATAAGAGTGCGCATTAAAGAGAATTTATAGAGCCATTGTT